TCTTCGTGGAAATTTAGTTAGAAACAACTTCCCGGGCCCATGGAAGTTATGTCCGTCGAAGTTATGTCAGTTACATTCTATTTCTTCGGCGGCGGTACTTAATGAGCGGAAAATGTGGTTCCACTGTTCGCGTATGTCGGTTTGTTGAAGATTTCACTTGAGAGCAGGTGTGAGGGTTGAGCTTTTCACAATTTCACGTTTATTAAGAAAATTTGTTGCTTGAAAAATTTGTGTGTAACTTTTTTTTTAAACAAATTCAAATTTGAAAAAAAAATTCATATGGGTTAAGAATTCATTTCAGTTTGACATTATAGCCTGTTTCTTATGAGAGCAATGTCAAAATCAATCACACTTTGTTGAATACATTTTGGATATTCTATTCCTTTGTGTTGTATTTTGATTTCATTCTTTTTTTTATACACATACGCAAATTGAGATCGGAACATTACCCGATATTGGAGAATGAAAATTGAAGTAATGCTCCTGCCGGTATGATGGAACATTTTCAAAACTTGAATTTGTCTCTACAAGGAGAGAATAAAAATGTTTTTGGTTTGTCGCAAATTATTTCTTCTGTGCCAACTGACGGCAATTGCAAACGCCAAGTGAAGCCAAGTCTCTCTCCACCTGGTTTTTCCAACGCATAGGAGCCCTTCCTCTTCCTGTGTTATCAGCATCGTGGCCCGCGTTAAATACTTTCTGAGCAGGAGCGTTTCTGTCCATTCGAAAGACATGGCAAAGCCAGCGGAGCCGCTGAATTTTAATTCGCTGCACTATGTCTATATCTTGGTAAAGCTCATCGCCATCGCCAACGCGTAAAGATCCGTACATTTTTCGCAGAATCTTTCTCTAGAAAAATCCAAGAACCGCTTCATCAGATGTTTTCATTGTCCATGCCTCCGCGCTATACACCAGCACAGGCATGATGATCGACTTTTATAAAGTGTGATCTTTTTACAACGGGAAAGGACTTTACTTCTCGATTGCCTACTGAGTCCAAGGTAGCACTTATTGGCAAAAGTGACTCTCCGTTGGATTTCAAGGCTGACATTATTATTGGTGTTAATGCTGGTTGCAAAATAAACGAAGTCGTCTACTTTTTCACACTTGGAACTGTCAACAGTGACGTGTGTGCCAAGACGCGTATGCTCTGACTGTATGTGTGATGACAGAAGATACTTCGTTTTGTCCTCGTTCACCACCAGACCCATTCGCTTTGCTTCTCTATCTAATCCCGAGAACGATAACAGATGTAGCCCTTGTTTTTACCGATAATTTCGATGTCGTCGGCATACGTAGTTTAAGTTTTGAAGCTAAACTACGTCTTTTTATTCATGATATAAAAAAAGAATATTTCATAGTTTTCCATGACTAGAAAAAATTTTGCACATGATTTAAAAGCAGATTTGGAAAAAATATTTACGAATTTGAAACTATTTAAGTGTACGTTTGCATACTTCATAAACCCTTATTATGTAACATAATTGAGTTGGTGTTTTTGGTATTAAAAGAAGATAAGGCACTGGAACGGCAACATAAAGCTTTGCCAATGCTTGAATTGTCGGCAACAAGTTCCAGATTTAAAATATCCGCTGTTGAAAACAGCTGCGTCCCCTATATTTTAAATTTTTGGTACAACGTATAACTGTGAGCCTTTGTACTCTACAATGAAATTCTTAAGGTCAAAATACCGTCCACAATTATTTGCATTCGCGTACCTAATATTTATTGAAGTTTTAAAAAACGATCAGCTTTTTGTGTTCGTGTACGCAAAAAACTTGCAAAGTAGGGGAAATTGAGAGACCAAAATGATATTTCATTTTAATGGAAAGTTGCGGAAAAAAATTTTACCAACAGCAATTTGCCAACAAGAAAACTGCTGATCAAAAACAGCTGGTTGGGATTTACGCAAACTCCTAAATTGAATTTGATGGTTTGGAAGTTAAAATAGTAAAGTGCGACTAATTAAACTTGTAAGAAATAAGTAATTATTCGTTTAGTCAGTGAACTGTGTCAGGATAAGACTACGGGATTTGTTTTATTACGTTTTCAATTTTACACTTTTGAATGTAAACAAAATTTCTATCAGCTGTTCGACTAACTTGCAAAATTTCTGTTCGAGTACTATTTTGGATATTTTTGGCTTGTAAGAGAACAGATGACATTTCGTCGGAATTTTGCTGTTGGACATTTTTTACTGGATATTTTAAACGAACGTACCAACATTTAACAGAACTGTTACGAACGGCTTTAACGTAAAACCAGATTTTGAAAATTTGGCCAAAGGGATCTTTTGAATTTTCTTTAATATCATATCTTACGTACATTAGAATAATAATAAAATTAATGTGTTTCATTTCTAATAATAATTTTATTTAAAAATAAAATTTTTGTTTTTGTTATTTATTTTGTGGCTCTTTGTAGCATTTAGAATTTACATGTGGCTCTTTTCGGCATCGGCATTGCCCACCCCTGCTCTATCCAATGCCTTTCACGTAGAACTTTTGGTATTATGACATTTAGTATTTAAGTGTTTTGTATGATTTTTATATGTTCAAAGAATAAATATTATTTCAAGGCTCTTCACGTAAACTTTTGTGGATGTGGATACTTCTGATCTCAGAGTTTTGAGAAAATTGAAGTATTCTTAAAGGGATGAGCATTTTCAAACTCTCACTATTTTAGATTTTAACACAAAAATTGGTTTTATAAGTGCCTTTGGATAGAAATCTGGCCATAGTCATATTTTTCATGCATTAAAAAAAAAAAAAACAGAGTTAGAAAAGCAAAAAATTTTAATTTATTTAATAAAATTACGTACCAAAAAAAAACTTCCGAAAGAGGTACACAAACTCCTGAAATTATTACTCAATTGACATTTACAGCCTTATTATGTATCACGAACGATAGGCAACACGTCTGCAGAGGAATGCTTCAAAAATTAGTCCAACGTAACTGATGAAAAGTTAGACGAAAACGACCGATAGAGTAATAAAATCGCAATCAGAGACGTTGTCGTACATAATAAGGCAGTTAATTTCATAAAATATTTCAGTTTCGTTCGGCATTTCTCATGGAACGCTTTTTGAGGGAACTTTAAGGTCATATATGTAATACTCCTATATTGGCAGTAAGAGCTAGTACCGTCCGAAAACACTACAGTACAGATATATAAATAAACACGTACGAAAGAAAAGGAACACATACGTTTATAAATAAATATGTACATATGTAATTATTGATCATATTCGAGTCTTTTTTGAGTCCTCTCCGCGATTAAAATAATCATAATTGCGCTCATATTCTGATCATAAAAGACTCTTTTGTCGGTAGAAAATGGTACCCTGGCCGCGACTCTTCTTCACGAGTCTTTTACTACCCACTTTTCTGACCATTTCTGACACTTTTTCGAGTCGTATTTACAATCATTTCTGAGTCTGGTGCGAATAACTTTTCAGGCGTATTTCTAAATACTTTCGAGTCTTCCTCGAGTAATTAATAAGCTCTATTTCTAATCGTTTTCGTCTTTTGCTAGTCATTTTTCAGTTGCATTTCTAGTCTTTTGAGAGTCATTTTTGAGTCGTATTTGTAAGATTTTGTGAGCCTTTTTCGAGTCATTTTTCAGTTGTAATTCAAATCACTTGCGAGTCTTTTCCCAGTCATTTTTCATTCGTATTTCTAAACATTTTCGAGTCTTTTTCAAGTCCTTTTCAGTCTATTTTCAAATCGTTTGTGCTGAAAAAAATTAAACATTAAATTAATTTATAATTAGCAAATCAGCATACATATTTTATTGAGTTCAAAAACGCGATAATGAAATAACAAAATAATTTTTTTAAGAAATCCATTATTAGAGTTCAAAGTCCATTATTAGAGTTGAAAATATTGTGGAAAGGTATTGACACAGAGAACTTTTCACCATGTATGCAAGGTTTTTTATTCTAATTTCTTTTCGCAAACTTTTTATAAAAACATAGCTCATATTACAACACAAATGTAAAAATAAACTTTCAAAACTTTGTGCAAAACTCAGGAAAATTCAACAAATTTGAAACTTTTTAAATAGATTTTGTAGCCCATTAAATTAATAGTATACTAAAATGCAAGTTTCAAGTTGCTTATAAATCGCGTTGGTGTGGCATTTTTTTCGCAGAGTGTCTTCCATACAAAGTATGTTCACCATTTTTTATACCGAAGACACGTCAGAAAAAAATTGGTAAAAATCAACGCGATTTTTTAGCAACTTGAAACTTGCATTTAAGTATACTAAAATTTAATGGGCTACAAAACCTATTTAAAAAGTTTCAAATTTATTGAATTTTCCTGAGTTTTGCACAAAGTTTTGAAAGTTTTTTTTTACATTTGTGTTGTAGTTATATATGAACTATGAATTTTTTTTGTATGGAAGAAACTGCGTGAAAAAAATGGCAAAAATCACCGGGCTTTTTTGGAAATTTCAAACTTACTTTTTTTTACCTACTAAAATTGAATGGGTTAAATAATTGCATACTTAGAATCTTTCTAGAGATATTAACTAAATTTTTAAAAGTTGAAAATATGTATGCAATTTTATTGGCTTTTTCTGAGTTTTGCGCAAAATTTAGAGATTTTGTTTTCCTACTTTTTGTTGTGGCATGAACTATATTTTTATAAAAATTTAGTGGAAAAACTTAAATTAAAAAATGTAGATGTATTGTGCAACGATTTCCCGTCATCCCTTGCCAATTTTTGTTTGGAGACAACCGGTTTCGGCGTTATGTCATCTACAGTGTCTTCTTCTAGATATAACACTGAAGATGCATAACGCCAAAACCGGTTTGACTCCAAACCAAAATTGACTAGGGATGACGGAAAATCATTAAACAATACATCATATTCCTACCCTGTCGAAAAAAAACAACCAAAACTAAAATTTTCCACACATTGTGAAAAATTCCCTGTGCCGATAATTTTGTGCTACACTGTGCCTACTTTTAACAGTTGTTATTAGAAAGCACTTTTCGGCGCTTGGCTTAGTGCTGGTCCCCTTCCAGCTGTAAGCAGAAGCCAATTCGTCACAAAATACTTTTCGGACGGCGGTTCTTAGAAATTTTGCGGGTCCGTCACCACCTGTTTTTGCTATGAATTCTTTCTGAAATTTTTTATAAAAATACTTGTATAACCAAATTCATATAAGAAGTTAAATAAAAAACATACAAATTGCTTAAGAGTGCCTTCATTGTGTTGTATCTAGCCATCCAATTTTTCTAAATCAGCAATAACGGCCAAAGGAAGTTTTTGTAAATCTTCAAATTCATCGATTGATGTGATGTCATTGTGGTGCCTTCTGTTTTCTAGCTTAACAGCTATGACCTCCTCTGTTAGTTTGGTAAATGCTCGCTTATTTCCATCCTTCAATTCTTTAATTTCTTCTTTTAAGCTCGAAATTTCAGACTTAAAAGATTTAATCTCGCCATGTAAATCTAGTACAAGAGTTTGAAGGCTGTTGGTTTCAGAAGCGTAAACATTTTGCACTGAAAAACAAATCGTTTTGTTTACATGGAAAAATAATGGGTTCCAGTTTTAACTTACAAGTTGTTAAATTATTGGATGGGGTGTATTGAAAATCTCCAGAAGAGATGAAATTATTCTGCGACATTGCTAAGTTGGGGTGTGAAAACATAACTGTTGTCAAAAGAATCTCGTAAACATATTACTTTTTTATTTATTTGATTTGTAGAAAATTCAATTTTATTATCAAAAGCGATGTCAGCCGCCGAATACATATCAAAATTACTTGATTCGATTGGTTGCAAAAAGGGAGCCGTCAGATTTGTTACTTCTATTCCGATTAAAACAGGACCACTATGACATTTTTTTATTTCTATTATCTTAACAATTTTATCCTGAACCAGGCAAAAGTTGTCAAGGCCGCGTAGAGAAAAGAAGAAATCATTCGTATTTAGACTTAAAATTT